GATTGCTCCCCCCCCTCCCTCGACTCCAAAACATCTGTGAGGATTCTGGGGATGGGGGAGGATGGGGAGGATGAGGGGTCTTAGCTCTGTTGTAAATAAAGATGTAAGGTACAGTATATGATAAGGTACACATTAAGTTTGAGGAGGTTGCTCGGTGCGATTGCGTTGGGTGGGTGGTAACGGTACAGTACAAGGGTACAGTAACTGGCACTGCCGTACAGTGGGCGGAAGGCGGGGAGAGCAGGACGGGCATGACGAATGTGAATTAGAGTTCTGCTTTCGCCAATTCCTCACACGTGTCACGATGTGGGCTGTGCGAGGCCTCATCGTGACACGTGTGAGGCTTTACGCCACTGTCGAGTAGATCCGACCAAGCGTTATCATAACATAAAAAGCGGCGCATTTTATTTCTTTTCAACGTTGATGGCCGCGGTTTCTATTTTTCTTAAACATTTTAAAAAATGTTTTTTGGTTTGCTGGGAATTTACAGCCCCCCTAACCTTTATACCATAGATGCCCTGCTTAGCAATCTCACTCTCTGCGAATGATCGCCGGATAACGCAGCACGATGCTGATACAGCTTGTGGGGGGTTATGCTTCTTGCATTCTCTTAACTTCAGCTTGCGCTTTCTACCAGTGCAGTACTCCAGTATCAGCTTTGACTTACCTTTTGCGCGCCCTTTGCCTCCCAATCTAGAAGTTCGTCTCTTAGTACGATCTGCGTATGCTGGCTTGCTTTCCCGACTGAAGAGAGATGGGTGATGACACATGAGGACCCCAGCATGCCGAACCTGACTTGTTTTGCTCTAAGGACACGTCTACGTTTGATCGGCCTGTCCCGCTTCCTTCTGGACTTGCTCCTCATGGATCTCGCCCTCAGCGCTTTAAAGCCATTGGCATTTAGTAGGTGATTCCCGTCTCGAGCTTCTTGACTCATGATTTTCTCTCTGTCTGAGCTGCACATACCTACATTGCCATCTCCGCGTTGTTTGGTGTCAGACAACGCGGTTACACGCGTTTCAGTTTCTTGGTACGACAAGACTGACAAGTGGAATAACACCTTTTTAGTAAGGACATAGCTCCCAGTCATTGGCACTAACATCTCCACCGTTCTCTGTAACAGAGGCGATAGTCGTATGATGTCTGGAATCTCACCATACTTCGCGTTAGTGTATTGTAGAGTCAGTCTTCTTGGACAGATTGAGTTCACATCGAACTGACAGTCCGTTTTTCTCGACGTTTGTTAAGGCCTTGACCTCTGTCTTTCTTGAGTTCTTCCTCGCCCTCTCCCGTTTTTACCCAAAACCTGGTTCGGATTGTCATCAATTTCCACCTGCTCACCCTCATCCGAGCAATCATCGGTGAATGTAACGTGTAGCATGTCACCGCCTGGCTGTGAAAATACAGCGCGCCTCCCGTCCAGTCTAGAGTACCAGCGCCCGGCGACCTTGACAAAGATAGCCTTGATCATCTCACTTGGCATAAGAAGTTCGGGTGTTTTTGACCTTCGGGGATCTTTACCTATAGGTTTTACGCCTGAGTCTCCCGCTGCTGCGTAACATATTTTCGATGCCCTCTCATGACCCTGAGCCCCCAGCTGCATCACCGCTAATGCTGCCGTGAGCATGCTTATTCGGCACATCTCTGATAGGAGTTTGAGGCTTAAAGTTGCCGGAAAACGGTCTAAGCATAGAAATACGACGTCCAGAGAATCTTCAGCCGCTTCCTCTGCCTTGTCGAATTCCGCGTCCCCCTCGACACTCTGCGCAATTCGAAGCACCGTCCTACCGTCCACACGACTCGTCAACACCCCTGAAGAATATCCTAACTCCAAACACTTCCCACACTCGCACATTTCTTCAAACTTCTCCGCAGCAGGATTGTGGTAGACCGAATTTCTTACATATCCACCGCACCCGTCGGACAACATCAGCTTCCCGGCACGCGGATCACCGATCTTGACTAAAGAAGTTCTGTTTGGTTCGCGATAACATACATGCCATGTTGGAGACATCTTACCAATTAAACAAGGAACTCTAACGGGAGGCAAAAAGGCATCGGGGCAGCGGGACAACTTGTCTAAATACTGTAGTCTTCTTGGTGACATGAAACCCCTGCAAATGGCCCTCATATGGTGGGGTACACTTGAGGCCTCCACTGGGTCCTGCCACGGTGCATGAGGCGCACCTCCCCACTCGTCAGAAATATATTCATAGAATTAGGGTGTGTCTTAACATGCCCCGTTTTTAGATATCAATCGAGCAGCACAGCACTGTCCCGCAGGCCTCTGGGTGCTGCAATTCTCTCAAACTGAGGGTGTGTCTTAACTTGCCCGGGTTTGCTTTGCTTGCCCGAGTTTGCCGGTCATTTATTAATTTTTAATGTAAGTACACGCCTTCCCCTTACATTAGTAGTGGACAGGTGTCCTTTCCCTTACGTTAGTAGTGGACAGGTGTCCCAGAGCGACGGTGCTGACTTACAGAGGCATACAGCGCCATAAATTGCCAGAACGCAACGGGGAGGACACTGTGGGTTCTACAAATTCGCTCCGAGGACGCATCGACAGGGACGTGACATGCTGCAGCGTCAAACAACTTTCGCCCCAGGGACGCGTCGACATGGACGCGAGACGCTGCAGCGTCGCTCGCTTCCGACCCAGAACGTGGCCATTGCGGGTGATCCCAGATCACCGGGATAAATAATTGATCTCACCCCCTACTTCTCTCCTTACTACTCCGCGGGATAGCGTATCTATCGCCGGCGCTGTTTGGTCAAAAAACGGATCTACAACCACTGCCCAGTATCGCCGTTCGCCTCCCCTCCTTTCTTCTCAATCTAATCACTCCTACGCAATGCACGGCAATAGAATCATCACTGCTACGACCGCACTAACCGCAACCGCAGCTCTATTCTCCCTCCTTTCATTGCACTAAGCTATTTCAAACTATCCTCGACCCCGAAAATTCACAAAGCCCGTAGATCTCCGACGGGGATGGACCTTTGTCAGAGCCAACAGGATTTTTAACGACAAAGAATTCAGTCGTACATACCGTATGGAGGGGGGGATAATATTTGGTCAGAAACGCCCGCTGCAGACGAGGAAGCAATAGTGAGAGACTTTGCGTTGGTGGCCCCCGTCTTCCGAATGGTGGGAGTCGGAGAGATGCGCCAGAGGCGCGGAGAACGGCGCACGTGGCATTGAGGTGTGGAAGCCATTTTCAGGAAAGTAGTCGGCAGAGAGGTGCTTCGTAGGGTTGTGTTGCCTTTTCGAGATGGCAGGTGCATAGATTTTTGCAAAGGGGGAGTTGAGGATGTTTTCGGCAAGGGGCAAGCACTGCGTCCACCGGAGCACAGCGTCCAAATTCGAAAGTTACAAACTTACAAAAGTAGCCAATATATGATTGACATTTGTCATTACACACTGACATAACTTGAGCTTGCAGTGTAGGGCCGTACTTAGTTTCAAATCATATATTAACGCCCAGTAGCCAATAGTAGTGCAAATCATGGCTCCGGGCAAGCAAACCTGGGCAAACTCGGGCAAGTTAAGACCCTCCCTGAGGTGGCAGAGACAACCCCTAGCATTACAGTACTAGTGAACAGTATAGGGGGCCCTACAGTATGGAGTACTGCCTCCAGTGCCGTACAGTATTTCTTTATTCATTTATTCTCAATATCCTTTTGAGCTCCAGTGCCTATCGTATATCCTCGTTCCGGCACTGAAGGGAAGTCATATGCTTTGTGTAGTCCCACTGGCGGCACGACATACCGTCGTCACTGTAGTGGCCTCCGGCATATACTGTACAATATCTGTGATTGAAACTGATGAAGATGCTTTGGAGGCAGCTGTACAGGATCGTGTTAGGGAGGCCTTGAAGAGGAATTCTAGTACTGCAGCACCGGTACTCGGCAGCTCTTAATCTCTGAAAACTATAAAACGTAGGAAGAGGGTAAACGGAACAAAGCCTCCCTCGATAAAAGGCTCCTTTTTCGCATTTAGATAGGACGCGCCTTACTCTGCGTACCAGCCAATCCTATACAAACACGACGAGGTTTCTTCTTCTGTGCTTCTATACATACTTATGCTTGTTCTGCAATATGTTCGCAATATGTTCGCCTTTCTGAAGAACACTTTGGAATTCCATTTGCGCATAACTCAGAAAAAAATCAATGCCAATACAAAAGTGATGCGCTCAGATGATATTCAATATTTATCGTAACTGTATCGGCAAATGCTCTTACTGTTGGTAGTGTTTTATGTCTCCAGTATGTATTGTATCCAATAGATATTATCCATCCAGGTTGTCTAAATTGTGTTTTGCTACCATTCAACAAACAAGTACAGGGTACTGCAGAACAGAATAAGTATTTGACTTCTTGGCCTCCTGGCGCTCTTTCGTGGTGCCAATCACTATTGTTCAGCTAGGTGGATTAATTGGAGGTACAGTAGTGGCCTTGACAGAGCTTTTGTGCGGCAAATGAGCTGCTGAATGAGTTGTGGCATGCAGGCTAGTGTCTAGGTGACAAATGACCTCATATGAGGTCACTTTTCAACTTATTTTTTCTCTACTTGCGCTAGCTCAACAAGATGGAAAAAGATACTCTCGCCACCGCAGTTGATTTCTGCGTTGCGGAAGGGCGGAGTTTGGTGAGATCTGCACGTCTTTTCCAGCCATTTTTAAAATGCCCAAAAAAGGAGCCTTTTTGACCAACCTCAAAACGTTTTATGTTGATTTCTTCGAAACCAAAACGCCTGTTTAAAAAGCCAACCCATCATTGAAACTTCATTAGATTCTTAGTCTCTTTGTGCATTGGAAACTGCCATCCTGATGTTTTGCAAGATGTTAATGCCGAGGGCAAATACGATAAAGAAATGGTGTCCAAACGGACTTTTTAAAGTTTCGATTTAATTTATATATTTTTTGCAAAAAAAACTGGCCTCATACTGTATGAGGCCATGACTGGCCTCATATGAGGTCAAATCGCTTGTCGTCTAGACACTAGAATCCGTACACCTATTACCCTTGACGGCAGGACTTTCTTGGCATGTACACGTGAAGTACATCGCTCATGAAGATGCGATAGAACAGCATTGTATTGGAGAGGTCTGCGGTATCGATCAACTGCGGCTCAGGACTGAAAAAACATTAAGAGTTGTACAGGATCTGATGCATTTTGTAAACATGGACGTGTTGGAAGGTGGTTCACTCGATGGATTCCACTGTGACTCCAGCATGAACCGTAGCTGTTCTACAAGAGACCTATTGTACTGTACATCCCTTTCCTATTAATTGGACAAGCTTGTCTCACTCTCTGTCGCGCATTTTTGGCTGTTCGATTAAGCAGAATTAAAGCTAGTATGCGCTTCTGTGAAGGACATATGTTTGAGGTGCCGTATCAGATACTGTAGGTTTACTGTACCAGTAGTTTCGGCGCAAGGGTTTCCCTTCGGACCGTTGAGCAAAGTAATTTTATTGAATGTGCGATCAGGGCCTAAGGGCAACTGCTACGAGAGGACCGCGGATTATTCTGACTTTCAGACTGACTTGCAGTAGCATAACTCATTTGTTGGTTGTTCAAAAGCCAATGCCTCGAACTGAACTCCTGGGAGTCCTGGGACCAGGACTCTGTCAACAATGGTATCTGTGGACAAGTCATTTCGATTCATCAGACACCTTCCGTCCTGCAATGCGCATGAAGAAGGCTGTGACGAGGATTGCATTTCAGCGAACATTGAAACCTTGATGTTAGGTCTAAAAATTCACCCTGTCCCACGTTAGCACAAACATGACCTATTAAAATTCGGAACATGTTTCAGCACATTCTTCACCTTCAGGCAGCAGGAGAAGCGGTCCTCATTTGTATTGGCCAAAGCATCACATCACTTACCTACAGCCGTTGAGCCCTGGAAAGGATCAAATGGCCATGATAAAGGCTTTTCCTTTTTTTCAAAAAAGGACGAGGACATGCCTCCCTCGCCATAATGTGCCTTAGAGCGTTTTCGAAGAGACTCGAAGACAATGCCCCAAGGTCCCGGCACTTACACCTGACATGAGGCCCTACATCACTCAAGAACCATTCTTTCAGGAGAATACCAGCTGACATCACCTCCTGTAGTTCAGTGTATGGAAAAATTGATGGAACGAATGCGTGTAGGTCGCATTCAAACATTTCAAGAAATTATACATGCTCGTCAAACATACGAAAGTCTTCTGGCCTCTGTCATCAGTGGTTTCCTCGTTGCGTATTCCCATGAATTCGTTTTACGGGTGATGTGGATAAACCCTACCACACCAGTCCCCTTTTTTGTAAGGCCGACACGTGGGTCACATCGTTTTGCCTCGACGCGAAAGTCTGCGCAGCATTCCAGTGTTTTCTATCTTTCGATACTGTGCATCGCTGCGAAGACACATGCGCAGGCTCTGTTCTCTAGCTAGTAGAGTGATAGAGGAAACAAAATACCTTTCTTCAAATTGCGGCGCGGTGAGCATAACGATGTTTCCAGAAATTTCCTTGCTCCCGTACTGTTGGCCATGGAAAAGCTCGACTCCGATGGTAGCGCGCATGAATTTGTTGACAGGGCAGCGGTTTTTTTTTGTCTGCGCGGTCTTCGTGGACTACTAACAAGATGGTTGAGAGGTCGTGAGGGTTCTCTCTTTGGATCGCGACAAGTTTTGAAATCTGTGATTCGCTCGACGCCGCAGTGCACAGGTGTAGTTCATTGCAAGAGTTTGACTGCAGTGGGATTCGAGAATATCATCCAGTTCGTTGTCTATGCACATTTGATTACACGATACCCCCTGAAACCGAACACGAGGAGCTTCTTCCGCTTTGAAAACCAACGATTGCCAGTCTGAAGATAATAGGGCAATTTCTTAGCTAAATTACATCAACTTGTTTAGAGGTTTCCAGAGAGACCATCATTTCTTAAAAACAATGATCAACAGGTAAGATAGCTGTGAGTGATTTAGTGATATACAAGATGCTTGATTCCAGTAGAGAGAAACTATATCGAAAATTTTCTTTGTTTCCTGAGAATTCGTGCCTTGATGAGTATCCGCTAATCCGCCTAGAGTATTGAGGGCACAGGTATTTACATTTTCTACTGTTGCATGGAAAACAAGTTGCTTGATGGGCGATAATGATAATGAGCTAGTTTTCCACTTCCTTACGCAACCGCAAATTTTCTAGGCGTAGCTTCATCTCTTTGTCGCGAAGAACCTCAATTCTATCCTTCGATTCCCGTAGTTTTTCTTTCATATCGTTGATAAACGCTTTCTTCTTCATGTTACTGCGATGTGCGGAGGCTCGGTTTTGCAATCGTCTTCTTGCTGCTTGTAGTTCTTTGGCTATTGATCTCGATTGACTGAAGTTAGATGTCGGACTATGTTCATCCTTTGGTGAGAGGCTTCCTGAACTTGATAGACACATCTCCATTCCTTCCTGAAGCCCCTGCCTCTCTGGTGAATTAATGGCCTGAAATGACAGCTCGCCATTTTGCTGAATGGTGTGTTTTAGTCTATTTTGCGGCTGCGCTTCAGTTCGCATCTCTCTCGGACTTTCATGAAGATTGCCGTGTATAACTGAAGTTGCTGTTGGGAGAAACTCCTTTCCCGCACTACCATCATCTGCGCAAGGAGACTGGCTTAGTGACAGTAAAGGAATTGCTTCTAACCCATGTAAGTCAATCCCTGTGTCTCTCGAAGGAGGGATTGGGAGATGAGAGGTCGGTTGAGCAACCGTATCACAGTCATCATCTGGGCGATTGCTGCTGTTTTCATTTCCGGAAACTCGCTGGCCATGAGCGAAGTTGTGTCCATCCATATCAGGGTACAAGACAGCCTGAACATCACTGCGGATGTCAAGTCTTTGGAAACGAGGTTGCACAGAGGCTCTGGGCGTGTCGTTTCCGAGCCTTGTTCGCATTCCCCATCTTGACATTCTGTTCATATGGGCTGTATCCACTGCCTCTTGGAATAAAGAGCGCACACCGCAGAATGAGTGGCTCACTTCTTGATTTGATCGCTTCGCAACATTGCTCATTAAGCCGTGATACTCCCCAAAATCATGTGCAAACGAGAGTTTGAAGTTTTCCGTATCAAAAGGATGTCGCGGATTTTGCATCCCATCACTATAACAAGTACAGCCGGATGCTGGTGGGGCCCCGCAATTAATGCAAGGTCTTAGATGGGAAGTGTGAGAGTACTTGATGTAAGATGCCTCTAGACTGCGAATGTTCACCTGATGGAGCCCCTCTTCAGCGACGGAAAAGAACTTAGAACGACGAAAGGAAATCGACAGGGTGTATGGACAAGAGCTGGAATCCATCGAGAAATATTGCATGAATATGGAATCGTCTTCCGGAGAGTCCATGACAGCCAATGTGCGACGTCGTTTTGAATCCCGGACGAAACGCATGTTGCGAAATTGTGCAGCAGGACTGGCTTGTCCAGCCCGATCTCTTTTGCTGGGATCCAAGACGCCAACTCCTAGGGTTAATGACTCTGCGGCGAAGCACGGAATCATTAGGTATCGTGCGCAGAACAGAGTCTTGTCGACTGAGTCTGCAGACAAAGGTTGTTCAACTTCTGCGGTGCTCGCAATAGAAAGATCGAGTGTGAGTGCGCTTTGTGCAAGTCCCGGTGACTCGAGATACACAAGGTTTATGGGTTCTTTTGTGAACAAAAAGTTGCAAATCCATTGCTTGTTGAAGAAGTCAAGAAGATTCGCAAGAAGAAATGCAGCAGTTGGAATGAGGGGCTTTCCGTTTGACATTGAGTCTGCAAGGTCGTGAAACTGAGACGCAAGGGATGACTGGTTGACAACTCGTGACATTTCTGAATGTTCCCAATCGGTAGCTTGGGTCTGATGAGGATCTTGAGGTTGTCACATATCCTTGTTCGGATATTCTTCAGTGTAAAGACGCGGTCGTCAGCTGTTATTCTTCAAAGAGAGAATGACAGCAGCTTTGTTGAACGCATGTGAAGACAAATAAGAGATCAGAAGAGCCGTAGCAATCATAAAAGGCTTTCAAAACGTCCTTGTGAGCACTTGCCTACTTTCTTGTTGCGTTGAAGGTTGAGAAGCTATCGGGTTGCCCGGCCTCGTAGTTAAGAACACAACGACGAAAGTGAGTTTGAGAAAAAGGGATTTTGTGTCGCGTATTGATCATTCCACCGATTATACCCCGGTCCTCTTCTATCAAGTTAGGAAGCCTCTGATCCGCGGATGTCTCTTACCTAATGCGTAATCCCGCGACCGTCCACATCTAGGGGGAGAGTCGCCTTCTCTTAATGCTGCTGTGCTGGCACTTTTTGAGAACTGATATTTCGTATTTTATTGTGCTTTGCTTGATAGAGAGGTCGCATATCCCTATTTGTGGTATTTTGTACAAACAGAAGGGGATGTGCTTGTGCTCATGTGATGTTTCAGAAAATGCCACATATGGCAAAGCGGGGTGACTTGGAACAAAACGCGAAGGGTAGAGCGCAGCTTTCATAGGGAAGGAGGGTGCATGCAACAGGAGCAGCAACGATGCAATTCATGTTGAGGTGTCCCTGTAATTTCCCGACAAAGTCTGGGAGGGCTTGAATTGCGTCGGGTTGGGACTGTGGCTACTTCTTACTGCAAAATGGCTGGCTGTGGGTGAGAACACACGCTGAGATGGTGAGCATGCCGTGAAGGATGAAATCTTTTTCAGGGACACTTTTATTTTGGAATGGAAGAAAGGAGCCCCACTCGAGAGCGAAATTGAGTTTAAAAATTGCCACAAAGACGAAATTGATGCGACCATGCATTGATTCCATGTCTCTGCCCTTACAGTCAAGTCGTGTGTATGTGAATTCCCAATGCGGAATCACGGAGCCTCATGACGCCAACGTGAGTATATGATGCAATATCTTATTGAACGGAGGAACCCCTCCTACTTTTGCCGGCGCAGTCTTCTCTTTCGTCTGGAGCATTATCCAGGCGTGGCTTTCGTCGTCACCATGCAACGATTTCCCTTAACTTCGTAGCAAGCCGCAACTTATGTTGATGATGAGTCTCTTCCAAGGAGGGGGCACCATCTGTTCGTCTTCCCCTTTCCAGGGTAGGACTGATTTGCGAACAAGAACGTGAGGTATGAGATCGCTTCCTAATCAAGCGATAGGCGGAAGAGATTGGATTCCGTTTTGTTCTCCTGTCATAAACGACTCGTGGCCCTGGCAGGATGTGACATCCCCTGACCCCACTGCCGCATGCGAATACTCTAAGGTCATTTAGGGCATGCTTTATTTGCATAGATCTGCCGCCTGTAGAATAGAAATTGTACGGTTCGAGTAGAGGGCGTAAGATAGTAGGATGGTGCGGGATGTCTCCAAATGAAGAGATGGGCATCCAACCAACGAGCGACGATGCCACGGAGAGGATTCCATAGGTGCCTTGAATCATTCGCTCAGTGATGACGATCGCATTTACGTTTTCAACTGTATACTTCTCTTACCGTTGCTCTACCCCACTCCCTCTATCCTTGGCTCCCCCATTCACTCAATCATCCACACACACTCTCTCTCTCGGCACAGAGGAGGGGGAGCTACGGATGTATTTTCGTTTAAGTAGGAGTGACTTAAGATAGGTGGCAAGATTTGCACAAGTCGAAATGCTAGGAATATGAATGGGCTGCATTGTCGAGGAGCACTTTTTCACAACGGTTTAGCATGTGTGTATTTAATGGGAGGTGGCGCACTTGATCTTGTTGCAGAACGTGTGGATAGTGTGAAGTGAGGCGGGGATCGGAAATTAGAGAGTACGACGGCGGGGCGTTTGCAACAAACGTCATCTATGTTGAGTAGTGCCATACAGTACTATATTCGGGGTGTACAGGATGCAAAGTGGAGAGAGTGTGCTGGGAAAATGCGGTTGGTGAAGCGGTGGATATGGACGAGAGGCTGTGTGCGGATTTAGCAGCAAGATACTGGATGGACGTGGCTGGAATTGGATGTTGGCGCAACTCTACACGCGGGACGCAATGGAAAATAGGCAGACCCCAACAGAACAACTGCAGTTCTCAGTGCTAACTCGGAGTTTAAAAGAGTGACTATGCATTGCTTGGGGTGCAGATGGATGATAGGGTGTTGACTGTCTAGGCAGGATTGGGGGGTGGTGGGGAGAAATGGATGAACTGTTGCTTCGCATGGGGAGTCTTTCCGACATTTTGGAAGTGATGAGAAAGAGTGTGGGCGAGAAGCCGGCCGCAGACATAGCTCTGGTGCACACTCCTGTGACCGGGCAAGGGGGTAGAGATGTTCGAAGGCCTGGATGCGAAGGCAGCGGGGTCGGCCTTGAAAGACACGTGCGAAATTTTACGTAAGAAGGAGTGCAGGGAAGTATTTCGGTGATGCTGTAAAAAAAAGCAGGGGATGGAACGGGGGAAACGGTGGGGTAAATGGGGTTTGCTAACATTTTTTTTTGAGGTCTGTTTAGCATATTCCAGTGTGCTTTGGACATTACTGTACATTTTAGATGTGTCATACGGGACTGTACCGTAGGCACCATGTGATACGTCCAAGCGAGGCGAGTAGATGCTGAGACAGAACTCCGTTTGAGAAGTGGCACCACGTATCCACTCAGAAGCGCGTTTATTTCAGAGATTTGAGCTTCCAGGAACTAAATCGAACACTCTCACTGGTGTGGCAGGGCTCCAGCCCTGTCGCCAGACGCCGTGCTGCGGGCAGCCCCAAGCAGCCAAGTGGCCTGGTACAGTAATTTATGTCATCCGCCTAAATGGCTTTACGCCTTGATGAGACAATCGCCACGTGTAACTCGAGTCATCGCTGGCCCCCAACGCGCCAAGTGTCTCCACTCCGCATCCTGAATATTCCATTGGTCGTTTCCAATATACGAAACCTCCAATCAGTATCCCTTCAGTGCGGCAACTGGTTGTTACACGTGGACACGTCGCCCATCTCCAACAACATGCCAACCTACCTGCACAAGATCAAAGTCACCATCTTCCCCACCTACCCACCGCACTACGCGCCGCCGACCACCTTCTCGCCACGCCATGTTCGACACTGCTAACATCCCCCCACTCCCCTCGGCCACAGACCTCCACCGCCTCGGTTCAACCACCCCCTCAGATTCACGCCCGTCGCTCTCTATACCCGCCCTTTTACAACCCTTTCTGGACCTCGCCACCCCCCCTTTCATCCGACACTTCCTCTCCACCTCCACCCCTCTCCATGTCCCTCACCTTTCCCGCCCGCTGCCCCCAACCTCCTTCGCCTGCCACATCACCATCACCCGCGCCCCCGCCCCTTTCACCTCCCTCACACCTCACCGCACCCACGCTCAATACCTCTTCGTCCCCCTCTCCTCCCATGGCTCCATCACCCTCGGCGTTGGCGTCCTCCATTCTATTGGCACCGCCCTTCCGTCGGACCGAAACACCTTCTCCCTCCCCTTCGACATGCGCTTCGTCCATGACGCCGAAACACGCACCCTCGTCGCCCTCCTCGACGCCCCCAAGTCCGACAACATCCTTCTCCATCTCTCCCGCACCGCCGCCAACCTCCCCACTTACACCGCCACCGCCTCCTTCCCGCGCGAAAAGCTCCAAGCCTTGCTCCACCCAGACGCCCCACCGCCCACCGCGCGCGCCGTGTCCGCCGCCCTGGTCGCCTTTTCTCACACCTCGCAGCGTCGCACGTGCCCGCTCTGCCCGTCCCCCTCCTGCCACTGCAACGTCCCCGAGCCGCCCGCCCCGCCGCTTCCCGCGAAAAATGACCTCCGCCTTGTGCGCCACTCGTTCGCCCGCGACGCCGGCACCCATCTCGGCGTCACCAGCAAGCTCGTCTTTCGGAACGGCCTACCCGCGGCAAAGCTCGCCCTGGGCGCCTACTCGGCCTTTAGCCACTCGTACGCCCCGCAGAACGTCGCCCACTTCGTCGGCTGGTCGCTGCAGCGCTACGCCACCGAGACTACGCAGGACCCGCTGCACTCGCTGCTGGCCCTCGCGCCGCCGGAGGGAGCCGAGTCGCAACCTCCCTCCGCCACCGTGTCGGAAGTTCATTGCACGGACGACACGCTCACGAGTCAACAACATGCCTGCGCCATCGATCCGCTGCTGCAGGGGGTCGACGCGTCCACATTGGTCGACGTGGGGGCGGCAAGTGCGCAGCGGGCGGTGGCAGGGGTTGCTCCGCTTGCACTGCAGCTGCAGGGGATCGACACGTCCACATTGGTCGACGTGAGGGCGGCGAATCCGGGCATGGCCGTGGCAGGGAGTATGCCGGTTGCGCCGCAGCCGATTCTACCTGCGCCATCCAGCTTGTCGGTGGAGACGTCGCTACAGAGCGTGGAGACGAGCACGGCGGACAGGCGGGAAGTGCGGAGTGTAGGGACGTGCGCGGAGGCGACTGCGGGGGTGGCGCAGTCATGTGTTACTAGCAGCAGCTCGGAGCCGTCGCGCGGAGAGGCGGTTGCGGAGCGGAAAGGGGACGGTGAGACGGCGGAAGAGGACGTGCGCAACGTGATGCGCAAGATGAGGGCGGAGGAACGGAAGATCCGAAACAGAGAGTCGGCGCAGAGGAGCAACCTGAGGAAGAAGTACAGACGGCAGGAGATTCGCGCGGAGCTCGGTGTGCTGATGGCGAAAATGGAAAGCTTGAGGGGGAGGGAGATGCGGTTGCGGGGGGAGAATTTGAGACTGCGCAAAATGATCAAGGAGGAGGACGCGGAGACGGTCGGGAGGACGCGATGAGCTCGGAGGGTAACTTGTTTTTGTTTTTCAACTGGTTGTCTAGCGCGGCTGGGGTCGAGTGGATGGATGTCTTTTGAAGCATCTTGGCAGTTATTGGTGGTCTCATTACACGGGCGATGAGGTTTCTGTCATTGTACGACTACGACGTGACGAGACGGTGGCGGCAGCCGACATGGGAGGGATGGTCAGATGACGAGGAATATGCTCTTCAGAGGATTGTAGGAAAGTGGTTCATCTCTTGAAATCAAAGAGATTGGGAGAGGGAAAAGGGAAAGCGGGGAGAATATAAGAAACACTGCACAAACTGCTGGACTGCCGCCTGCCTCTGCGTCGTTAGAACGCTGTTTCCTCTCACTCACTCGCGCATATCCTTTGCCTCGCTCTCGGCCCCCCAGCAAACAAGCGCTTGTTCAAATTATGGTGCGGCTTCCAAGCCGTCATTGTTATCCACGACCTGTTTGCATCTGCGTGCCGTAATTCTCTTTCTCTCATGGATCAATTGCTCTACTGTACTAGTATCGACGACAAGCGGTTTGCCTCATGAGGTCAGACATGGCCTCATGTGGGGCTTGCTTTTTTTGCAAAAATATATACATAAATCGAAACTTTATAAGTTCAGTTTGGACACCATTTCTTTAACGTACATGCCGTCGGCAATAACATCTTGCAAAACACTGGGATAGCAGTTGTGAATGCACATAAAGACTAGGAATCTATTGCAGTTTCAATTCTCGGTTGACATTTTAAACAAGCGTTTTGGTTTCGAAGATATCAACACATAACGTTTTGAGGTTGGTCAAAAAGGATTATTTTTTAGCATTCTAAAGCTGGAAAAGACGTGCAAATCTCACCAAACGCCATCCTTCCGCAACCCGGAAGTCAACTGCAGTGGCGAGAGTATATTTTTCCTTCTTGTTGAGAGAGCACAAGTCGAGAAACATTCGAGTTCACTTGCTATGTGCAACACGCCCTCGCTGCAGGCATTCCTTCAACGTTTGTCGTACTACACATAATTTACCGCATCTGATTTTAGAGCTGCGAAGGTACACGTGTACAGTACGCTTCAGGATCTAGAATCACCCTCGACGCCGGCACACCCTTTTCTCACCCGCCGAACCACCGACAGCTCTGACCACACCCGCCCCGCCCCCCCCCCCCCCCCCTACCTCTTCCCCTCGCACCATGGATCCCATGCAGCCATTCATGCGACCACCCTCCAGAGAGGAGCTGCGCGCCGTCCTCAAAGCGAACGCCGCCTTCCTCGCCATCTACTTCACGGCCATCCGCGCCACTCCACTGGTACGCCACTGCGCCCCACCGCCGATTCCATACGCAACGCCCACGTTTCTGACCACCTCTTTCCTCTACTCCCCGTCTTCACAGGCTCTGGACTTTGCTTACGCCGCGTACAGCCATTATTCCAACTGACCCCATATCCACCGTAAACGCATCGCCCCTCGTCTCATTCATCCCACTTCTGCCCTGTTCACCCTCTCGCCTCTGCCGATCCCCGTCCCCACCGTCTACCGATCACGCCTTCCGCCGCAGATACAGGAATCCTGCCCGCGTCTTCAGGCCTTTTGTTGCCGTCCACGCGCTCAAGTCCAGGGACCCAACTGCTTCCGCCTCACCATTCCGTTCACCATTACCCCGTATCCGTATTACGTCAGGGCAACGCGGAGCAGGCCTACATCCGCATCGCTCCGCTATAAACCTTCCCCCGCGCGTCCCACGTCATGAGATTCCTCATCTTGAAGTCATACCTTGTGCTCCCCAGCCGCATGGACGATGGCGATCCAGGACAGGTGCGTGCGTCAGCAATGACGATTCCGTTTCCGCGATGCTGCTCACGTGGTGGGCAGCCGGCCTACCCAGCTCGCCCGTCCTCCAGACACTACTCCGAAACAGAATGTCCATATAGCCAGCGCGCAAATTTCCAGCATGCCTGATCCGACCACGCAACGACTACGTCACCACGCCTGCTTCTATGAAATCATCCCATTTCTCGCTATACGCCAACATGTTGCACAACCGAATACAACCAGCTCTCATAATTTAAACGTCCTCTCAAACTTCCCCGGAATCCTCACTGCCGGACAGCAACCCATATGTACTGAGTACGTTTCACCTCTAAGCGCCCAAACTGTTCGACTTGTTATACAATCACACGATGCCATCCATATCCTCATTTATTGCTGATTATGTCATCCGAACAAATCAAGTGACAGAAGAACGTCATTCCTGGGTCATCGTCACTCTGGACTCAGCCCGACTTCCTCTTGCCTGGTGACACCGAGCAGTACAACCACGACTGCGCGTAGCCCCAGCTTCCCAATCTGTACATGACGCCACCAAAGCTGTGATATGCGTGGTGGCAAGTTACTAGTCCTAAGCTGAGGGACGTGGAGCTATTTCGCGTGCGTTGCTCAATCCCAATGCTGTACATCGCATATGCTACAGTACAGCAAAATGGGCCGGCTTGGCTACTCTGCGATGACTACCTTCGACTAGCGAGATTGCCTCGTTGCCAGCATGAACCGCAACGTATGCCGCCGAACCCGGTAAAAGGCAAAAGCGAAAGAAGTTGGTCCAACGTGTGTGGCAGCAATACTCGCACACCACGTATAAAGACTATACTCAAACTGCATATCCCGCATCTCATACAGTAGAAATACCACGCTGGAACTTTTCTCCAAAGTTAATCTCCTGCGTCGAGAACGCATGCCCCCCTACACATGATGCCCAATGGAGTCTCTTGGTCAGCCATCCTCTTTCCCCGCAACATACGCGGCACTCTCTCGCTCGCGCCTAGCTCAGGAGCGTCGCGAGCTCGAGTGCGAAAAAGCAGACTTGGTTCAACGACGTGACCTCGCTTGGCGGCGGTTGGCCGCGGCGGCAGGGCACAACGTGGATGTCTGGATGTCCTCGCCGGAAGAAATCGCGCGAGTGCGAAAGAAGCTGGAAACGCCCACCGACGAAACGCTCGCTGAGATCGCGAAACGCGTCGGTGAGGTGAAAAATGAGCTCACACAGAAGGCGCTGGATGTATACGCAGCTCGTTGTAATGAAAATGGGTTCCCGCTCGGGAAATGAGTTTGTTTACTGCAACATGCACGCACGCTTGTTCCTGTCGTTCGCAAGAGGCCTTTCTGTTGTAGGCGTGGGTGGTAGTGCGAGTAAACCAGAAGGCCGGTTGCTTTCCGGACGGTCACATGCAAGTCCCGGTTTCCGTGACAAATAGCGTTTCTTGCTTTTGCAGTTGCCACAAGTGACAATCGTACACTTCTCGCGCTTATTCGTTTGTCGCACGATAGGCGGCGGATTCCCCAGGCCAGGTATGGTAAGCGCGTTGCATTTCTTGCAAAACGATCGCTTGATGGTGACGCAGTCCGTCTTGAGGTTGATGCGGCGACAGATCTGTCTTGACGAAGCGATGTAAAACCGGGAGAGCGTCGGCGATGCCTCTGCGAGAAGGTGTGACGCGGCCCACAGATGTGTCATGCGATAAGTTGCGTCATCCTCTCGCGTTGCCTTCCGGCGGTTCTTGCCTTTGCTGTCAAAGCGCTTCTTCCGCATAAGGAGTGTCAGTCAGCGCTTCGCACAGCGAGCACGATGCCTTCCGCGCGGGAAGGGACCTGATTTGGTTTCTGTAGGGCTACCGCATTGGGCGATCGGGTGAGAACTGCTGCTGTATCTCTGCTATACAACCTGCTCGGAAGGACAGTGAGGATTGATGAGCAGTAGGACGGGGCAGACGCCGGAGAAATAGAAACTGATGAAGGCCGTTGGTCTTTGGTTGCTCACTGATCCAACATGGATATCTTTATGTCTATTCCATCCGTGATTTTGAGAAAATTAAAAACGACAAGGTACAGTATTGCTGCTATGTCGTCCTTTGCTTTTGACTCCTCTCCCGCTCATTCTTACCGACTTCATGGCCCTTTTAGGGCAGGCAACACCAAAGAAGAACATAACGCCTTGTTTCCTCGACCCACGGAAAGCCGGCTGGTTTCACTCTATTTTGAGCAGCTTTGAAGAAGTGTTGGATGCACTATACCTTTGAGTGCCACGTGAGGAGGTCTGCGGTAATACAAGTCGTCTACTGGCCTCCAAATCTGAATTACACTCCTCGTTGTCCACGCAACAAGCGACACCTTCAACTTGCGTCATCTTTCGAAGCGCGGTCGCATTACGTCATGTACGTCAGCAACCGTTGCCGCGGCTCCATGGCATACGCTCATGAGAACATACGTGAAACGGCTTGGCCAGTAATTTGGACGTTCGCCGATGCGCCCGCTTAATGGCAAGTCTACGATGGCCACGGAAACAGCTATGGATAACAGGCGCTGCTGCCGCGTCTTTCCTATGTGAAGCGTCGTGACTTTGCTAAATAGAATCAACCTGATTAATCCCCACTCGGCGTAATTTTCTCCTAATTATTCTTGGACTTCCATCAAGAAACACTACACTGGTCCCATCCGATTCTCCGTAACAGTATCACGTGTGAGTGATACTGAGACTGAGAGTACGAGGCGTAGCTGAGAAGTTCTTCCATCCCACCCCGGTGACATCAATTTCAGCTGTTTCCGCCTAAAGGGGCCATTAGATACAACGTTTCGTACAACAACCAGCATTACAGGCATTCAAGTCTTTTCGCGTATAAAGCCAGTGTGTTTCCACCTTCAATGCACCTCAAGTTTCACCCACTCGTCGTCAGAGCCATCCCTTCCCCTTCATCAGACCGAAACCCTGCGACATCATGTGTTCTCCACGCCAGCATTCGTCAAGCCTTGCACAAACACTGCTGTACACACCTGAGACGTCGAAGAACCCTGAGTTCCCAGTTTCCACAAGTCCGCGTCCCAAAAAGCGCACGAGAACCCCGAAAAAGAGACCGAGGTCTCGGCCGAGAGAAGTCAATTGGACTGACGCTACATACTTCTCTGCGCCGGGAAGGGATGCCGCGATAGGCAGATACCCTCTTTTCTTGCAAGGATACGTCATATCCGAGGCACTCTCTTTTGTTGTCTGCATGGCATGTGGTCGGACATACTCGATTGGTCCTCGGAAGTGATACCGGTCTCGATACCGCCCGTGTCCCGTGAATGAAGTTTCGAGTGATTGGCTGTGTTATCCTGCCGTGGATACGCCGAATTTTTACCACGGGGTTGTCTTTGATCGACCACAAATCTTCCGGGCGATTTTCTAACATGTAAATCAACGACTGTATCAGAAACTAAATGTTATAGGTAAATGAATAACTCATCTCTCTCCCTCCCCTGAAAGAAGGTTGATTCGAACGTTTCCACCAATGATGGGAACATGTCCCTGTTGCAGCATCCATCAGGTCATGACTTTCTTGTTCTGCTCTTGTCACTTCACAGAACGGTAATGCGTCATTTCTCGTCATACCTTAGAACCCAATCATAATAGTTTTGTTGAGAGGGACCGGCAAAAGAAAACTGGCTCGTCAGGGCTACGCTCGCCATCATCTTCCTCTTCCTGCTACATTAGTCATAACAACTGCCAGAGATCAACCAAAAATCGCAGCGCAGGAGGGCTGAAGGGCATCCTGCGCGTTTCCAACCTGTGCGGGCAATGAAGAATATCCAATCGGTTCTCCGCATTCGCGTCGGCATATCTGCACAAGATTGCTGCACAATTGAATCATAGATAAGAAACGAGAAGCCCACGAATGAATGCTTAAATTTTGTAAGAATATTCATAGGAGTCCGCATGCGATTGAAGCATCAAGGAGAAGAATGAATCACTTTTGACACCAGGAATCCCAAATTTAAAAATATTTTCTGAAGTCTTCTCTCTGAAAAAAGACGCTTGATCTGAAGTTTCTTTTTCAGAACTGCGATAAAAACACAAAAATATTTCGGTTTCTGTGGCAAGTTTTGTACCCACTTCGTTGTGCCACAGACGCGTGGGTCAGTTGACTGATCTACGCGCCACGAAGGGCTTTCACTCTTGAAAGGCAGAGTTTACTGCCTGGGCGGAGGGTAAAGCGTCGTAAGGAAAGGAGCCCTGCCGCGTGGCCGTATGGTCATGTGGCTCGATAGCAGGGAGCAATGACACACTACTGTCTTAAATGCATCTTAAAGTTTAGTTCATGTAGCGCACCCCGAATCGATAACTTCATTTCTTCTTGCAAAAGGTCTGAAAGGAACGGGTTCAGGTACACGCTCGAGACGCCTAAGATTCACACTAATATCGCCATGTACGTAGCTGCAAGGCCTTCATTATGTGTTCGATGAGATCGTGACAAAATATATTCTGTGAATCAAGTCGCTGGTTTGAAGTCTATTTGGGCAGCACTTCTCTAAAGCATTTGCCCTTGGCAATGGCATCCTGCAGGCCTTTGGGGAGCTAATATTAATTGTGTTGAAAGACAAAGAATTCGATGAAATTTCAACTGCGAGTTGTAATTTTGAACTGTGTTTATGGCCCGAAAGTAAGAAAC